TCCTGCAACAAAAAGAGCAAAACTCAAGCTACGTTCATTTAGATGGTCGCCACTTTCAATGGCAACCCCCCTGAAAACATTTGAAACAAAAAAGGCCTTGGAATAAATCTAAATTTTATCAAAGCTGGAAAGTTAGAGAAAAATCAAGAGAAGAGATGAAAATATAACAATCAACACATGACCATGTGGCGTAATTGTAGCGTTTCCTCGCACTTCTGAGTTTTGGCTGCCCCTGTTTTTGCCTGTTCTGTGTTTCCGGACTGTTAACTGAATTTCATTAGATGTCGACGCTGGATCTGTCTTCTAACACACGCTGTATGCTTTTTTCCTTCACCGTTCTTCACTAAAGTTCAACCTATTCAAACTAACCGTCTCGCTTCGTCATTTTTAGTTGTAAGTCACAACAGAATGTGAAGGACGGGCTGTTTTTTTATTTAAAGTCAGATACCTCATGAAAATTCATGTTATTTCATCTATTGTTTCTTTCTAAGAGTACAGAACTCACTGAGGGAATCAGAAAAACATCAACCTGAACAATATTAGTTCTCTGCTTCAAATCAAATCAATTAAAAAATGGATTTCCTGTGATAGAAACTGTTTAAATCAGCAGCTGCAATCATTTCTGGCGTCCCCCAGGGGTGATTCACTGGCCTCCTTCGGTTTTAATAAAAATTTCGGTCACATTCAGAATACAAACGTCTGATTATCCTTCTGGATCCTTCTGTTCCTCTGCATGCTCTGGCTGCTGCTGGTCGCTGCTCCTCTTCTCTCCTGGATCTCTGCTATCGGCTCAGTTTCAAGCTGCAGGGTTTCGCTCCTCTGGGCTTCATTCCTTCTTCTGGGCTCAGACTGAACTTTGCCAGGTTGGTAACTTTTAAAATTCTTGTCATTCCCTGTTTGAGTTTCAGAGGTCACTGACCTTAGTCTCCATCCCCACAGTGTATCCAGTGAGATTGCCTCAGCTGACAAGCAGCTTTTTCAATAAACGCCTTTTTAGTAATCACTGTCTGTCTCATCTGAATTCTGGGTCCTACGTTCTGAGCATTCTGACATGGAACTTGCTGAAATCTCCTGAGAACCAACTAGAACCATGTACTTTGGTCTTAGACAGCTATTCATTTTCAAAACAAACACAACAAAGTAATAATTGCTAAAAGCAATTGACCAAAACAAGACAGAACGGCTCCTTTGGCACAAAAATCAACCTTCTTTCATGAGCTACGCAGTCCTCAGAGCTAAATCCTACAGAAATCATTTAGTCTGACCCGAGGAGAAGCACAGAAACAGAAGGACTAACCAGGAAAGATTGTTACAAAGAATGGTTACACATGTTAGAAAATACTAAAATGCAATATTTCCTTTAGATTAAATTTACCCCAACTAAAGGGTGAATACTTCTTTATTAAAAGATCAACTTATTTCAAGGTTTTCACACATCTTTTACTATAGAGAGCCAATAAATACAGAGAATAGGGCATGTTTGTTTATTAGAGTTTAAGCCAGTGTGCTTGTGCATCAGAAAAATCAAAGGTTCTGTTTCCTGTGCTTTGGTCCTGGCTGGCTCTTACCTTTCTGGTCTCTGATGTCGACAGCGGCCTGCGACTCCAGCAGCAGAGAGACCAGCTCCAGGTTACCGTTAAGAGATGCATGATGCAGGGCAGAAAACCTGTGGCACAAACGGAAACATTACAAGGTTTTACAAACATACCCATGAACATCCTGGGTCAGTGATAAGGACAAACATAGCATGACAAATGGATTTTAAAGCAGATCAAACATGTCTCTGCTGCAGAGCTGTTAAATGGGACCTAGAGCGAAGAGACGGAAATGGATAAAGATTAGCATGAGGGGATCTGTTATCTGTTCTGCAAAAGATCCAGGAAAAATATGTGTGTGAAGCCAGAGGGTGAGAGTAACATGTCAGCTTTGATGGGAAAGCTTGACGAACAGCATAAGGAGAAAAAGGCAATCACGTAACCCAGGGACACAAATTGGCAAACAGGAACAGGAGAGTCTCAAACAGACGCTCATCAGAAGTGACAGAGGCACAATGAAAAAAAAACAAGCCTAGTGCCGGTTTAAGATCCAGATATTTCCTACCAACCCTTAAAGAAGTATAAATGTCATGATTAGTGGTGGTGAGGGACTGAAGTGGCATGCGATCAGTGGGAGGCGCACGAAAACGAAGAATAATTGACCCCCCAGACACCAGACGTTATTTAGACATTGGTTTTTAGGCTAAATCTGGTCGATCCTTCATAGTCTTTATTCAGTCCAGAAACTGTTGTTGGTCAGTCTGATTTAAGATCTGGTTATACTCCCGCAGCAGTGTTTATGCCCAATATTGAAGCGTGGTCTGTGCGGAAGTAGGTGGTGAGGAAGTAGGGGCAAGTTTGTGCGACAAAGGAGGGACATGAGGGCGAAAAGGGGTACCAGTGCTCTCGCGCACCTCTCTATTCTAGCTGGTCCGCGAGTCGTTTTCCACAATGGTGGTCATACAAACAAAACACACCGGTAAGGTACCAAACAGGACATACGCATAGTGTAGAGTGGATGTAGAATTGACCAATCAGTGGCTTCTGCAGTCACGTACAATTTTGGAGAGGTGTAGCAGGGTGTCTGCGGAAGGGGCGGGGCATATTTGCATTCAGTGCGACACACACGCAGGAAACCTGGATTCT